ATTAATATTAATTTGTGTGTGTGGGTAGTGTATATGTGTGTGTGTGTGTTAGGGTATATATATATATATATATAATTTGTGTGTGTGTATGCGTACTGCGTAATCATGTACGTATGCATCTGCTTGCATACATACGTATTTTTATCTATACATGCATATATAAATATGCAGTGCGGGATGGTTTTTGTATTTGCGTATTGTGTGTTTTCATACTGGTAGTGAATATGTATAATGAATAAGCGCAAGCATTTGTACATATCTTTTCTACATCCTCTGTTTAATAGAGGCTACTCGTCTGTTCCGGTGCTTTTCACTGAGAGTTTAGAAGTCAGGTTTGTTATACATGCCCATATAGACGGTTCATGTCCGTGTAGATCCCAATTATACCGAGTGTCGATAGTCCATGTGTCTGTGTGGTATTTACTTCTGCGCTCCCGAGAGTGTCGCATATCCGATAGATCCTTATGTAGTATGCGTATCGCGGCATTCATCTCCGAGCACACGACCAGATATATTCTGAGGGCTGGTTATGTGTACATTTTCAAGTCATACATATATACATGTGCGTGTGTAGGTATTTACTCTGCCCAAAATTTTCGGAGTTCTATACGGATATACGATTAAAATGCTATTTTTCTATGTTGGTGTGCAAGGTGCATGTGGTGTGGATATACATTGCTTGGCTTTGTCTAAGTTCTGAGTACCCGACCCACATTAGTAGCCTATATGCAAACATACCTTAACAGTATATATATATCTATCTATCTATCTATTTATTTACACATATTTATACTTATCATATGGGTTTCCAGATGTAGGTAAACATCTTACGTATGTTGTCCTTCAATTTAATTTACACAATATAATTAATAGCTTAAACTCTAGGTTTCACTGTATAGACAACAAATCTCACTCTTTTGTTCAATTGTTTTTCTAAACTGCAGGATGAGCAGGTGTGCAAGGTGACCTATTTATATCAATTGCTTGACACGTGCCATTTCAAGCAATTCTGGGCTGCTGTACCTGAAAACTCGGACTTATTCCCCGTTGGCGGACTTCCCGGGTTCGAAGATGCCGTACGAAGATGTAAGTATTCAATCGAGTGGTATATATATATACTTATATATATATGTATGTGTATGCGTATACGTGTTTGTGTGTGTGTGTGCGTATGTGTGTAAGTGTGTAATATATATTAAATAGTATATACGCACGACTCTGCGAGTATGTCAGTAGTGTTCGATAGATAGAGGATACTCACGGAAGATGTGTGACACAAATAACTGACAATTTAAACATACAAAGGGAGAGGTGGGGCACTGTTGGTGCATACTTTAGACATGCGAAGTTTTGTCGATGTTGATTCTTGGATATAAATGAAGGATAAAGCGGCCGTGGCACCACATAGTCATATCTAGATCCACTTGTGTGAAGTTTACAAAACTCCATTCACGTTTGTGCGCATTTCAAATCCTGTCATTTACATATGCTCAACTGGAGCCTTTTTAGACATACTTGCTTAGAAAGTGCTCCATCATCTTAAGTTTTTCTCAGCTGTATAAACAAGACTTTTCTCGATTCTTTAAACAGAGCTGCCACAATTGTATCGTCAATAAACTCATCTTGTCGCACCCAAAACCTCCCATCCCGCCACAGATGTCAAGGAAATCCTTATGCTCACATACATCAACATCGACCGAACCTTACTGATGGAGTTTGTAAACCTAAAGAGTGAGAGTGAGGTGGACGCCTTCTTGAAGTATGTATCTGGTGAATGGTGACGAATCACTGTCACTGTTGTTTGTGTGTGCTATACCCGTGTGCATGTCACATACTACTGTTTGTTTCGTACGCTACCATTTGTGTTTTGCGCCCAGTATGTTGCGGTTCGTTTGTGGGGGCGTATACATATATGGGCGTGTTTGCATGCACACAAGAATAGACTCACATTCATGTTGTCTATACTAGTTGGGAGTGTCAACAGCT